GGGCCGATGAACACTATTCTTAGCTTCTCCTTGACTTGCATACGCTGGACTAAGGACTCCATGTTCCGCACGTGGCTCGCCAAATCACAGAGCTTGGCCTCGGAACCCTGATCCAGCTGAGCGCAGACATCTGTGAACTCCGGCGCCAGGATTGCGAGGGAACGGAAGTCCCGGCGGGTAAACTCCAGGATGGAGCCGCAGCTCGCCTCAGCCACGTTCTTGTGATGTCCGTGCCTGTCAATCTGCCAATGCCTTGCAGTTGGATGCTTTGCATGACCCGACCTGGACAAGTCATGACATGTCAACTGAGAAGCGCACCTTGAGGTCACTCTGAAGCTGTGTGAATCTGACGAAGTCAGAAGTGCGAGATCCGCGAACCTTGTCGTTGGGCAGCACTGGCCCAAGTGTTTCCCAGTCGCTTCCTCAGCTCCACAGAAAAACCCAGGTCGAATGTCGCAGCCATTTTTCCTCACAATCTCTTACATGTGTCTCGCGGGTCCGAGACACCTAAGCCAGCATCATGTCGTTCAGAGGTCGCCATCAATTGCTGCAGCCGCACGGCCCCACCAGGTCAGCGGTGCCACTATCCCCGACTGCGCAGACGGGACTTAAAGCGGCTGCGGATATAAAGAAGCATCCTTTGTGCAAGCACCGGGTAGCAGATTCGTGCCCTGAACCAGGTAACCTCGGGGCAGATCGAATGGCCTCATCTTCATCTTCGTCGTCATCTTCTTCATATGTCATACAGCCTTCTTCGCAGTCTTAGTGATCACACATGAAGCTGCTTCTCCACTAGCTCCAAGCTTCGTGCTCTTGCCGTTCAGCGGAGCCGATGTCATGGATGCCTGCTGTGCCTGTGCTCGACTTATCTCGACTTCCACAACCAACCGACATGACATGAAGTTTCGCGCAAAGGCCCGCACTGCACCATTTCGCACTCCAGCAGCCCGAGGCCTGAGCTTCTCAGGAGAGTGCAAGGTGTTGCAGGACTGTACGGGGTGCGGGTGTGCTCGCGCTTTGGGGCCCACACTTGGCGCCACCAAAGCCCAAGCCTCTTCCGTCTGTTTCTACCGGGCTAAAGCCTGGAGGTCAGCAAAGAACTCTGTGACAGCATCAGGGCCACGCAGCATCTGCGAATATCTGCGAGCTCCCGACTGTCGTCATCCACGGAGCCCTTGGCGAGATAGCGAAACTTCGCCTTGCAGCGGACATCTGGATTCGGGGCTTGGATCAGGTAGCGGCAGTAAGCCTGTAAGGCTGCAAGGCTCACTGTGACACTGTGAGGCAGCTAAGGCACACCGACAACATTCTCTGGCTCATCCTCGAGTTCCTGGTTCGTGTGCGATGCGCTTCTGTGGATTCTTTCATAGCCCCACCAGGCCTCGTCAAAGAGCTCGTCATACTCACCGGCGGCAGAGGTCGAAGCACTCCTCCAGAATCTCTCACCAACTTGCTGGCCAAGGCGATGAGATCGCATTCTCGAGGGAAAAGGGCAGGCTCTCCAACTCCCTCCTTGTGGTCGGTTTGGCACCGGCGCTCGACCTGTCATTGCCCGAACGTGCAGCGAGGGGCCTCCAGAAGCTTGTTCTAGAATTTTTCGCCTCGGCCTCGGTGAGGCATTAGAGGGATCCAATGGGACCCCCCTGCCTCCCCTCCTTCGAAGTTCCCTCCCGAGTGATGCCTGCAAGTTGCACCCCCGCCCCTCTCCTCCGAGTGCGAACCTTTGGGCATGATGTGTTTTGGTTGACAGCGTATGCCTCGGTCAAGCCCCTGAGTTGACTTGTGGACCCCCTAAGCCCGAAGTGCCTCTGTGCACCAGGCCGAGGCGGGCGACGCACAGCGTTTAAATGCTACGAATTGAAGCGCTTGCAAGTGCATCAAGCGTTTGAGGCCTGCTCATGAGACCAGTTTGGTCACCAGCTCCTAGAAGAAGGACAAACAGGTCATGTTCGTAGTGGCAACTGGACGTCGGAGCGCTGGCTGACTGTTTTCCTAGCTACCATGTCGAGACTGGCTAAGGGGGGCTTAGGCGTACCATGTCTTCATTGCCATGATTGTAGCAGCTGGCCATGCCGCTTTGAAGCGGTTGATGTCCTCGCACTGCTCTCGAATCGCCTTGTTCGCAGGATAAAGGCCACTCATGCTCACAAGAGAGTTGAACCCAGCCATGAGCAGCTGTAAAAAAAAAGTTTCTTAGGACAATCTGTGTCTAATATGTTCGCCAGGCGGCGATGCCAGCTCGTAGACGAGCTCGCTCGGTTTGATTTGGAAGCATCCAAGAATCTGCAACGCTTGCTTGCAGAATGCACATAATTGGCACATAATGCACTAATAGGGGCAGGAGATGCCAAGAACTCAAGGCAACTTGGCGGCTCTGCCTTCTGATCTGGTCGGGACTCAAGGCATCCGCCTCAGGGCCGCCAAAAGCACTGCCAAGCCGTTGCCCAGTCGCTACAGCTGTGCAAGGGTGAGCCCAGCTGTGTATCGTGCCTGTGCTTGCTCATCGTCGCTATCAATGACATTTCCCAGCAAATGATGGGCTTCCTAGGGTCTTCGAACTGTCTATCTGTGTCCAAGCAGTAGCATGGGAGCCGTCATGAGCTCCTCGTCATCGCAATCTTCGTTCTTCTTGGGGTCGGCAAAGTAAGCCAAAGCACGACTCCCTTGGAAGTTCACCAGTTCAACAAGCTGCGATTCTCTGCAAACTTCAAAAGCCCCCAAAGGAAAGGCCCTGCAATGCAAATTGCAGCGAAGAGGACACAGTTGCAAGCAGTTTTTTAACACGAACCACACAGGACTCGATTCTTCTTGAGTCGCTGGAAGAGGGTTTTGTTTCGAACGTGAAGGAGGGGGATTCTGTGCTGTCCCAGCTTTTCCACCTCAGATGTTTTGTTCGATGGATTGGTCAAATCCGAAGGGTTTCGATGCCTCCTTCACCACTCTGTGCTTGGGCCTCAATGAGTTCATCTGCGTTCCGAAGATTGGCCCGGTGGCCCTTCCTACGTCGAGCTGGCCCAATCCCACGCAGGAACTGCAATCTTTAAGACCATACCCCAACTTCAAGCCTGGGATGCTCATCTGCGTAGCCGTGAAACAAAGCCGATTTCGGATGACGTTCTCGCGAGCATTTAGCCTTTTAGTGCAATTCGTTTGCATCGTTTTCTTTGTGCCGGAGGCATGTTCCTGGCAGCAGACGTCGTGTCTTCTATACTTTAGCCTTCATTGACAGCTTGCCAACAGAGCCCGGTGCAAGGGTCTTAGCCGCTTAGCCCCTACCGGTTTGTTTAACCTCTAAACAATGCCCCGCTTGCTAGGCTAAAAACTTTCAACCCGCCCCCTAGCCGACCAGCCGCGGACGACGTCCCGGGACTGGAAGATTTTGCACTACCCCCCTACTCCCCCCCCCCCTACTCCCCGCCCCCACTCCCCCCCCTACGCAATCGCCTCGGTACCCTCGCCGAGGCGGCCTCGCGTTAGCAGATAAGTCACAATTATTGATGTTCCTTCTCGGCTGGACACCAAGGATAGCGTGTTTGTTGATGCTTGGCCCATCCTCTGCTTGACAAATCGGGAGCTGGGAGTGCTTTGCCAGCCCAGCGACCTCCAAACGGCCACATACAGCGGCAACCTTGGCTGCAGGTGCTGCGGTCAAGACCTACGTGACAACCTTTCATTCCCACAGAGATCTTGAGCAAACCTGGAAGGTTCATGTTGGTACTGGCACGCGTCAAAGCTGCATGTGTGGACGAAGGACGTCGCCGCCATGCATGCCAGTACCTACAAGCATGTAATCCTGCGAAGGGCTTCGTGGGCTAGAAGCTGGTAGAAGCTGCTTACTTAGATGCTTGCCGCTCGAGAGTGCAGATTGCGAAAGCTCTCATGCACAACTGCATATGAAAGTCTGGAGTCTGTGGGGTCTGTGAAACACTTGGACCTTAACCCTTGAGTCGCGTGGAGTTCGCGGTTCGTGGAGCTCACAGACATCTCAACTGGCTTCGACGGCGTGAGCTGAATGATGCAACGGCTCGCGCCGAGTTGGTGTTTTCCTGTGCAGATCTTTTCTACCACCATGGGCTCTCTACTTCACAACCGATTGACATTATCGGTCCCTTGCGCATCTTTGTTTGCAAGGGGATGAAAACAGATTGTCAGATGACACATGCTCACTCGGCAGCCTGACAGCTAGCCAATTCAACTGCTTTCACTTACACATCCATTCCGACACATTCCGACCTGCCCGAGCTTGATTGGCAGGTCCAGCTCTTCTGGCCTAAGAGATTCGAATCACATGGGGCTTTACGGTATTTTCCTAACAGGTCCTATCCTTGCACTTCTGACCAAGGCCCCATCTTCTCGCTGTCAACATCGGCGCCAGCTCGCTGGACTGTCAGCTTCACTGTGTCGCCCGGCGCCTAGGAAGCATGCATAGTTGCAGCGGTCCACCCACCAATGACACGCCTCATTCGTTCATACTCTCATGGTATCTTCCTGATGCCTTCGCGACACCTTCGTGACACCTTCTTCATATTTTGCATATCCAAGAAACACCAAGACGGATTCCATGCAATTCCGCACATCCAGACTTTCTGTGCAGAAAGGCATGCACGTTGGCCCTGAGCACAGAGCTCTCTGCTCCAGCATGCCGAACAAGTCATCCGTGGTAGACACGCGCCTCGGTTTTGAGTCAGCATTGTGAAGTGGGCCATCTTTCGTACATGTAATTATTTCTCATATTTCTCAGGGTGGAGCTTTCCATCCATCGCAATTACCACATCTCCCAATCGACCGCCTCCTTGTCTGACAGCATGGTAAAGGCTTTCAATCCGACTGACTCAGGGCTCAGACGCATTGCACGAACACCGGCGTTGGCTGCTGGTCCGTCTGGGACTACCTGGGCCACGTCAGAGAGACGTTGGATGCGGCCTGCAAAGGCCCTTGACCAGCATCCACCCAGCCTTCATCACCATGATGCCATTGAGCTGCAACTCTTGGTCCATGACCTTGCGACGGCTCCATTATCGCTACTAAATGTTCCTGCTACTTCATTCTCCGAATGCACTTGGTTCCTGCCCCCCACCCCCCCCCCGTGGCTGAGCAAAATAGGGTCTATTTAGAAGCTACCGCCTGGGATTATTAATCAATTTTAGCATATCCAAGACAACCCAGCTACTTCTCCAACAACGTCTCACGCATATGCGCACTTAGACAATTCATTTCGGACTGATAAATGTTTTGGCTCTTGCAATCTCAGACCCTAAGCCCGGAACCCTGACCACAAATTCGTACACTCTAAAACCCTACACAAGAAACTCTATACCGTATTTCCTAAACTCTAACTCCTAAACCCAGAATCTAGAAAGAAAAGGAGGAAAAAGAAAGAATCATGTGCAGACGTTCCTGTGTTCCTATCTTCGGAGTTCTTCTATTCCTATCTCTGCTGATTTTTCAGAATGGAAGGAGGGCTTCATTTTCCCTCTCACTTTTCCTTTCACTTTTCTTTTCTCACTCCAAGCAGAAGGGAGAAGACAAGGGAGAGAGGTGAGAGATAGAGAGCCCCTTACAGCTCAATAAATAGAAAGGTGACCAAAATGGATGAAAAGATCGCCTGCTTTCATTTCTAAACGGCCTGTCCCCGCCTTCTTTTCTTTGCACAGTGCAGACATAAATAAACACGAAAGAAGAAAGAGGGCCTTTCCCTACTATTTCCTTCGCTATCCTGGAATCCTGGTTCGGAAAAGAAAGGAACAGCTACCAGCCCCCCTCCCGACTTTCATCTTTCCATTTCTTTTGTTTCGTCACGCTCAAACGGACAGAAGAAGGGCGGCCTCTAGTGTTTCCTCGCCTCCTTCTGCACTGTTATAACTTCCTTTCTTTTCTCTTCTGTTGCTTTGTGTGACAGGTGCGGGGGCATTTCTTTCACTTTTCCCATCGAAGAAAGGCTCCCTTCCTATCCGCATATTTTCTTTTCTCTTCCTTCCGAAAAAGACTATAAGAGGCAGGGATAAACAGAATGAAAGAGGAGTCTCCTTTTGCTTTCCGACTACCTTCTCACCACAAAAAGGAACCCTTCTCTTTCTTCCCTTGACTTTCTTTTATCTTGTTTGCATTCTACGTTTCCCACTAAGAAAATGAGACAATGATGAAGATAAGTGAAGAAAGATCACCTGCCTGCACGCAGGTTCTCGGGAGCTTGTCTCGACCGGGCTGTCCCTCCTTTCCCCGCACGTCCCTTCGCTTGTCCCCATTGATCTCTCGCGTCTCTTCCCTTTGCACTCTCTCGCCTCTGGCCCGCCTTCCATGCTGAAAATGCTGAAGAGATACGAAAAGAAGAGCTCATGATTCTTTCTCATTTCTTCTTCTTTATCATTCCCATATGAGTAAAGAAGAAAGATTAGGAGAGAGAGCCCTGCGGCAATTCCTGTTTTGGGCGGAAGAAAAGAAACAAAGAGATAATAAGAGAGAAGAACGAATAAGAAGGTGCCGGGAACGAAGATGGAAACTGCTCCTTCACCCTGGTCTATCGCTTCCTTTTCGAATTTTTTCGGAAGGAAGATCGAAGAAGATAGTGGGAAAAAAAGGAGTGAAGTGCCCGTGGAAGGGAGAAAGTGAAAGGGATGCCCCCGCAACTTTCATATTTTGATAAGAATGCAAGCGCCAGCAGAGAAGAAAGGAAGAGAGAATAACGAGGAAAGAGCGGAAACCGAGGAGATTAGGAGCCAGGTTTCCCTGATTGATTCTCGTCACTTTTCTCTGTTTTGGGAAGGTAAAGGGCTTTATATCTCCCACCTCTCTCCCTTGTCTTTTTGGTTGGAGTGAGAAAATATAAAGAAAAGCGAAAGGAAAAGTGAGAGGGAGAAAGAAGCCCTCCTTCCATTCTGAAAAATCTACAGATTTAGAGACAGGAATAGGGGACAATATGGAAATGATTCTTTCTTATTTCTTCACGTTGTCTCCTTTCCCTATATGACTCCCTTGCGATTTCCCTTTTGGTTGGAGTGAGAAGAGACAAAAGAAAAGTGAAAGGAAAAGTGAGAAGGAGAAAGGACGCAGAGATAGGAATAGAAAAACTCAGAAGAGACACAGTCTCAGACAAGATAATTTGCTGACTTGTGATTGCGTGGCTGCCTTGGCAAGAGTTGTTGCTGGAATGGCTTTTGGGAAGAAAGTCGGAGGTGCACTTTTCAATCCAGGCGTGTTTCGCGAGCCGCAGCTTCTGGCCTCCTCTTGCTTGGGCGTGGCCAAGCGCCAGGGAGCAGAAATGCTGCGTTTTTCAAGTTTCAAATTCGTTTCTGTAGTTTCAGACTAGTTGCAAAATAGTTTCAAAATCCAGTTGCAAAATCGTTGTTAAGGGGAAACTGCGTTTTTCTACGCGCAATTGCAAAACATGCAGAAGTTCTGGTTTTCAACAAGCGCGGACAGAAATTGCAGCTCCTCCTTAACAGCGATATTTCAACTGGATTTTGAAACTAGTTTGAAACTGACTTGAGACTAATTTGAAACTATGGAAACGATTTGAAACTCGAAACACTACCATATTCCGGACTTTCTGCCCCCCTCCTGGCCCCTCACATATGGCCCTCACGCACGGGAAGTTGACTTTGGTCAGGCGTGACTAGAGACCAGAGCTTCCGAAAGCTTGCCAATCTCCGGACAGTAGGAATAGAGGAATGTGTGGAAATGATTCTTTCCTAGTTCTTCATCTTCTTTCTCCTTTCCCTATGTATGAGAAAAGAAGACAGACAAGGAGAGAGAGCCCCCTGCAATTGGGAATTTCCCCAGAAGAGAGAAAGCGAAAGGGATGCCCCCACAACTTTCACGTTTTTCATAAGAATGTAAGCACCAAGAGAGAAGAGAAAGGAAAAGAGAATAGCGAGGAAAGAGGCAAGGAAACACAGGAGGCAGCCCCTCCGCTTGCTTCTTGAATGAAAAAGACATCGGAGAACTGGAAACATGAAATTGAGAGGGAAGTTGCGCTTTTCCTTGCTGAAGAACAAAGCAATTCCAAAGAACATGGAAAGCACAAGGAATGTACTGGGAAAGGTAGGGAAAGGGATTCTTCCCTCTGACTTTTTTGCTTTCCTTCAATCTGCGATGTAAAGGGAAAAGATGCAGCGGACAGGTCTGAAAATACAGGCAGGTGATCTTTTTTCCTTATTGTCATCATTGTCTCATTTTCTCAGTGGGAAACGTCTCATTTTCTCAGCGGGAAACGTAAAGTGCAAAAAGATAAAAGAAAGAAAGTAGGGAAGAGTGGGAAGGTTCCTTTTTGTGGTGAGAAGGTAGTCGGAAAGCAACAGGAGACTCCTCTTTCATTCTGTTTACCCCTACCTCTTATAGTCTTTTTGGGAAGCAAGAGGGAAGAACATACGCGGATAGGAAGGCAGCCTTTCTTTGATGGGGAAAAGGAAAGGGATGCACTGCCCCCTCAATTTTCATGTTGATAAGAATGTAAGCACCAGGAGAGAAGAAAGGAAGAGAGAATAGCGAGGAAAGAGGCAAGGAAACACATGAGATTAGGAGTCAGGTTCCGGTGATTGATGTTCGTCTCTTGTCTTCTTTTTGAGAAGGTCGCTTTTGGTTGGAGGAAGAAGTCCGCCTTCCATTTTGAAGAATCTGCAGAGATAGGAATTGAAGAAATCACAAGAGACACGGATAGAGGACATTATAGACTTGATTCTTTCTTATTCATTCATCTTCTTTCTTCTTTCCCTATATGAACACAGAACAAAGACAAGGAGAGAGAGCCTCCTGCAATTGGGAATTTCCCCAGAAGAGACAAAGTGAAAGGGATGTCCCCCGCACCTTTCACACTTTTGAGAAGAATGTAAGCAACAGAAGAGAAGAGAAAGGAACTCATAATAGTGAGCAGGGAGGCGAGGAAAGACTGGAGGCAGACCTTCTTTCCGGTTGAGCAGGACGAAACAAGAGAATGTAAGATGTAAGTCGGGAGGGAGGCTGGTAGCCGTTCCTTGCTTTTCCGAACCAAAGACAAAGAGGAAGGAAGGCAGGATAGGTTTCCGTGATTGATTTTCGTCACCTCTCTATGTTTTGAGAAGGTAAAGGGCATTCTATCTCTCACCCCTCTCCCTTGTCTTCTTGGTTGGAGTGAGAAAATATAAAAAAAGCGAAAGGAAAAGTGAGAGGGAGAAAGAAGCCCTCCTTCCATTCTGAAAAATCTGCAGATTTAGAGACAGGAATAGGGGACAATATGGAAATGATTCTTCAGAGACAGGAATAGGGGACAATATGGAAATGATTCTTCCTTATTTCTTCACGTTGTCTCCTTTCCCTATATGACTCCCTTGCGATTTCCCTTTTGGTTGGAGTGAGAAGAGACAAAAGAAAAGTGAAAGGACAAGTGAGAAGAAGAAAGGATGCAGAGAAAGGAATAGAACAACTCAGAAGAGACACAGTCTCAGACAAGATAATTTACTGACTTGTGATTGCGTGGCTGCCTTGGCAAGAGTTGTTGCTGGTTTCGCGAGCCGCGGCTTCTAGCCTCCTCTTGCTTGGGCGTGGCCAAGCGCCAGGGAGCAGAAATGCTGCGTTCTTCAAGTTTCAAATTCGTTTCTGTAGTTTCAGACTAGTTGCAAAACAGTTTCAAAATCCAGTTGCGAATTCGTTGTTAAGGGGAAACTGCGTTTTTCTACGCGCAATTGCAAAAAATGCAGGAATCTCTAGAGGTTCTGGTTTTCAACAAGCGCGGACAGAAATTGCAGCTCCTCCTTAACAGCGATATTTCAACTGGATTTTGAAACTAGTTTGAAACTGACTTGAGACTAATTTGAAACTATGGAAACGAATTTGAAACTCGAAACACTACCATATTCCGGACTTTCTGCCCCCCTCCTGGCCCCTCACATATGGCCCTCACGCACGGGAAGTTGACTTTGGTCAGGCGTGACTAGAGACCAGAGCTTCCGAAAGCTTGCCAATCTCCGGACAGTAGGAATAGAGGAATGTGTGGAAATGATTCTTTCCTAGTTCTTCATCTTCTTTC